GCTATGTCACTGACTCTGGGCCCAAGAGTCCCCAAGTCTTGCCACACTGCTGGGTTGGCCATTTTTTTCTTTCAGAGTTAATATATATAGTCTCTTTTGCCTGCTTGGTTTCTGTTGAGAAATCAGCCCTTAATCTTGTAAAGTCTCTCTTGTGTGTCTCTTCATTTTCCCCAGGCTTCTCTCTGGATTCTTTCCTTGATGATGATTTTGGAGTATTGACTATAATATGTCGGTGATTATTTTTAGGGGGGGGGTCTGTGATAGCTAAGGTTTTGTGTCAATTTGGGTGTGCCTGCATTCTCAGTGGTTTAGCAGTTAAGATGCAGTCATCACTTGAAGAGAATTAATACAATGTAAACTCCATCACCCCACCCCCACCCTGCCCATGCCATCTGTTGTATTCAGTGTACATGGAGATCTCCAAAGAATCTTGTCCCTGCTGATGCTGAAAGGAGGCCAGGACCTTTATCCAGAGCTGACAGAGAAAATCTTCCCGTATAGTTAATTGGCACTTAGGATTTGGACTTCTAGCCTCCTAAACTGGGAGGGAATCCATTTCTGTGTGTTAGAGCTATCCAGCCCCCTGTTCCAGTAACACCAGGGAATGAACCCAGGGTCCATCCTGTTTGGGGTTTGTTCAGCTTCTTAAATGCATCTCTGTTCTCGTCTTTCGTAATGTCAGGGACGTTTTCCTACAACTCTGTGACATTTTTGTATTGTCTGTTTTCTACTTCTTTTTTTTGATTTCTGATCACATGTTAGTTATCCCTCCTAATGCTATCCCACAGAATTCTTAAGCATTCTTCAGATTTCTACATTTTTTTTCCTGATTGGTTCTTTAGCAGATACTGAGAGATTTGTCTTCAAACCCAGCAATTCTGCCTTCTGCTGATTCAACTCAACTTCTCAGCTTTTGGATGTATTATTTATTCCTGAGATCTTAGCATTAATTTTCTAGATATCTGTTCGCTGTTTTTGTATGGTTTCTAATTTTTCATTTAGTTCTTAGAATGTTTTCCTGCATGATTATTCTCTCTCTTGCCTTCATCTGCAGCTTTCTCAAGGATTCTCTCAATGTGTCGAAGGGACCCGAATATCACTCTTTAAATGCCTTATCAGGCAGTTCTGATCCCATTTCTGGTATAATAGTTTGTGATTGTATTTCAATGACTTATCGGACCCACTGTCTTGCTTCTTCATGTAGGCTAAATTGCCGTCTCCAAGAGATTGTGGCGTCAGAGTTGTATGAACTGGTGATTGTATGCTGCTGTGTTTGTAGGTACACACCGCCTGTCCCCTAGTGAGACTGTAGGTGTACACAGTTTTCTGTCCATTGTTTGTATAACATCGTTCAGGGTAGATTTCTTTGATGTTGGCTGCCAGTTCTCATTGATCAGATGGTACAGGGAAGCGTAGTGGCACTTGCCCAGTGGATACAGAAGCAGGAGTGTCATTTTAAAATGGTCTCAGATGCCTTATGTGTAAGCTTAACTCAAGGATATAACAAGCTGCCTGTAGCTAAACGGGGCAACGTGGAAGGTGCTCAGAACAGCTTCGTAACAGAAAAACCAAATGGTCTCAGTTGTAAACACGAACATGTTGTTTCTAAGTGCCATCGAGTCGGTTCCGACCCATAGACTCATAGTGACCCTGGGTAGCGAGGGGTTAGGTGGAGCAGCTGGTGGGTTTGAACTGCCGACCTTGTGATTTGCAGTCCCGTGCTGACCCTGCAGCGCCACAACAGGATTCTCCATCTTTAATTGTTGCTCAAACTGACTGTAACAGTTCTGTGTTTTGCATTTGACTGTTATGAGCTTGTAACCCATGTGTTGGCAAACAAGAAAACCAAATAATGGAAGGTAGAAAACAGAGCATGTGGAGATAGAATTTTTAAAACACCATAGGCCAAATCCTGCAGTTTACCTCAAAACTTGGCTTACTTTACTCATAACTCAAACACCAGACCCTTTCTTACAACAAACATAAAACACCACAATCTCTTAGAATGGAATTGAGGAATTTCCATGTGGAAGCTATTTGAAGACATGTCTAAGAAGACGATGTCAAGAAGTGAAGGTAATTTATGGTTTTCAGCTTCTAGCCCATCTGTGAACCCTGCCGAGCTGGTAAGAAAGAGGCCTGTGACAGTTGTAACAACAGTAAAAGGAAACACACAGCAAATCAAAGTTTCCGTGAATGAAGATTCTGGAACACTTAGCTGACATCAGGAGCGCGTTTCCCCGATGGATGGGGAGACCCATCGCAGACGCTACAGTGACGCTTATCCGGTTGTACTGCACACAAGTGGCACAGAGAACGTAGGTTCGCTTTTGTTGTCACTTCCTAGGACTGTTCACTGCATTAGGGAGAGAAAATGAAACAACTCCAAGACATTGTGCTCTCCCTGGCAGTGGCCAGTAGTTGTTAAGTGCCATCGAGTCGGTTCCAACCCACGGCGACCCTGTATAGGATTTCCAAGGAGCGGCTGGTGAGCTTGAACCACCGACCTTGTGGTTCAAATGACTTTGCAGTCCAGTGTATTAGCCCACAGCGCCACACCAGGAGTCCAACCTTGTCAAATACATTTTAAGGCACTTAAACAGGTATATAGTATTTGTGTAAAAAAAATAAGATATGCGTGGAAGCAACGTTCACCAGACCAAGTCTTCAGAACTGCTTGTATGTATAAGCCCGTACGAACGTGCGTCAAGGCACAAAGAGAACCTCCTTCTTACGCCGTTGCTTTCGTCCAGGTCACTCCCTTCTGCCTTGGCATCATCCAAGACTTGACTGTTGACGCCAGCACGCTCCCCAGATGGATCTGAGCTGGGCAACAGATGAGCAAGGGCATAGATATCAGAGAGAGGTGCTCGTGGTCTGCAAACACCATCTTCAGCATCGCCATTCCCAAGGTGAGAGATTTGTGTGCAGTACAGAAAACACTGTCTCTGCTGGTATGAAAGATGAAGGTTACAGGTATAAAGCTCAGTTGAATAGGAGTTTGATGAACACTCTGACAATGACGATCAATTTCTCCAGGCCGGTGTTTGGATTCGAGAACGTCTTGTGGAACGTTGTGGAAATGATCAGGAGAGGTGCACTGCTGCTGACCGCACCCAGAGGAGGTTTGTTTCTTTCAAGCCGTTCCTTGTTGTGTCTTCAGAGCATCTGTCCAATCAGAAGGAAGCACACAGTCATAACAAGCTGAGAAAAAAATAGATCTAAAGGCCCAGAAGTGGATGGACCAAGAGAGAGACCATAGCAGGAGTGTTTTAACGATGCCCCCAAACCTTCCAAAGGCCTCAGTGCCACTAACGGCCTTGTATAAACCCACTTCAGAAGACACAAGGAGAGAGAGGCAGGCAGCCTACTGTCTGGAACGCTTTCAGAAGCCACTTATTGATAGGTGTGATTGATCAAAGCTGAAGAAAGCCAGACTGCTGCTGGCAAGAAAGCAAGTGTAAAGATCTGAATGAAGAGATGCCGTTTTATGTGCATCGACGCACTGGTCAGCTCGCTTCTGGTGCCCGTGTACTGTTAGGAAGTACTATTACAGCAGGGCTGGAGGCTAGTGATCGCTTTTAGTGGTCCCCAATGCACCCCACCAACAGCTCCAGCCCCCACTATTGGGAGGAGCACGGACCAGTTTTTCTCATTCTCTCCATCAGCTCCATGTTTTTAAAATGAGTGGGGTTTTTTTCCCTTCGTCTTTTCAAATGGGGACTGCTTAATGCCGGCGGAGGGGAGGGGCGCTTTCACACTTGCCTCAGTGCCTCCTGACAGAAACAGAGCAAGTCAAATTGTCACTTGTGAATCAGACTAGTGGGTTGCTCGCTGCCTCTGAGGACAGTTGGGAGGAGGGTCCAGGGACAGGATGCTACTGACCCCTAGAGTCAGTCTCAGAAACCCTGCTCCCCCCTGTAGCGTTTCTGTGAGTTGAAATGGACTCAGCAGTAGTGGAGTTTTGTTTCCCAAACACCCTACCTATTCCAATGTGGCGCTGTAGGCGAATACCCTGGACTGCAAGGTCGGCAGCTCAAACTCACCAGCTGCTCCACGTAAACCCTATACGTAGCTGAGTTGAAACCGACTGGAAGGTATGTAACAGTAACATTCCAATCCAATTCCTATCTGCTCACTCAGAAGGTAACACTGTTTCCTATTCACAGCAAAGATACACAGTGAGTCTGGATAAAATCGAGTAACACAAATTTTGAGAACTACAACTGTATTGATTTACTTTATAACTTCAGTACACTATCCACATGGCATACTGAACCTCGTAGTCCAAGGATGTGCTAGTCTTATGATTTCTGAAGCACTGGGAAGGCAGAATAAGGAAAGCAAACAGCTTTATTCTGAAGACAGTAACACAGAGGGCACACACGTGACCTTTGCTCCTATACATGGCCTTTTAGTCAAATGACCACATCTTGCCACAATATATATATATGTATTTATTTACCACACACAATGAAGTAAGTGTTCTGATGATCTGAAACAGAAATTTCTAGTATATCAACAACAAAGTGTATTAATTGAATTGTGCCCCTCCCATGTCTTACACATTCTGACCTCAGTGCCTGTGGATATGAACTCCTTTGTTGTTAATGAGATACGGTTACTGTACGTGGTGTGGAGCTAGTCACTTACAACATACTCTACGGAGAAGGCACTAAGAAGTTTGTGAAAACACTGCATTAAAACATGATGAAAATCTCCCACAAACATTTTTAATCCCCTCATATAAAAGAAACAGATTCAGCAAGCAGAAGCGAGCGCCCTAGTCTGGCGCTGTAAACACAGAACTGGTAACCGGAGGTCAGCAGTTCAGACCCACAGCCACTCCTGGAAACCCTCACTCGATGGCACACAACAGATGCCAAGCCGTGTAGATCTCCAAAGAAGTGAGACAGAGAAGAGCCCCTTTCCCGAGAGCCAACAGAGACGTCTACACCTACTACCAGTGCCCTGAACTTGCACTTGAACTGAAGCCGCTAGCAGTCTTAGTGGTGAGAAAATATATTCCAATTTGTTAAAGCCATCCACTTTTGTTATTTCTTTTGCAACCGCACTAGATGACCATATATATTAAGGGTTTTATTGTGGATTGAGGGATAGTTTACAGTGCAGATCATCAGTTTTACATTCAACATATGTATATATTGCATACATACACACATACAAATATACGAGGGGACTACATGAAAAATTGAAGGTGATAAGAAAATGGAATTTCCCCATGAACTTTTTGAAGCCCCCTTGTGTGTGTGTGTGTGCGTATACATACATATAACATCAGAAAGGGTGTGGAGACTTCCTACTACTTTGGAGAAAAGGTATACCTTAGTTTTGATACTTAAGTCTGTGACCACTTTGGGTGAATTTTTGCAGATGAAGTGAGCTAAGGACCAAAGTTCACTGTTCTCCATGGGGCTCTCTGGTTGTTTCAGTTTCACTTGTAAAGACCATCTTCTCCTCCACAGCTTTTACAATGTTGACCATTTATGGATGGGCTATTCTGGAGGCCCACTGTGACGCTGTGGGCTAATGCGCTGGACTGCAAAGTTGGTTGGAACCATAAGGTCGGTGGTTCAAACTCACCAGCCACTCCTCGGGAACCCTATACAGGGTCACTGTGGGTCAAAACCAACTCAACAGCACTTAACATCATTCTGGACTATGGAGTCCTCATGTGGCACCATAGGGTAAGCACTGGACTGTGAACCATGTGGTCAGCAGTCCAAACCCACCAGCTGCTCCTTGGAAACCCTATACAGGGTCGTTATGAGTCAGAACCAACTCGAGAGTATTTAAAAAGCCCCAGTACTACACTGTCTTGGAAGTATAGTTAAATGTTGAAATAGGATAATAGGACTACTTTAATTTTGTTTTTTTCCCAAAATTATTTTAACTATTTCAGGTCTTTGGTATTTTCATCAGGTTTTTTAATCATCTTGTCAATTTCTACAAAAAGAAAGCCAGCTGAGGGCTATAGGTAGCTCTGGGGAGAAGTCAGATTTGAAAAAACACGGGATACCTTAGGTCTAGTAAAGAGAAATAAAAACATGTGTCCAGATGTGTTTACACAGATGCTCCCATCAGTTTTACTCATGATACTCTAGTGAGGACTACAGAAACGCGAATGTTCATCGAAAGTTAGATGAGCCACAAATGATGGCTCCGCCTACAATAGGACTACCCAACAAAGAACTACCGAAACAGGTTAACAACTTGGATCAAGCGAAAACATGCCCAGGGAAGTAGTCTGACACCAGAGCACATATCGTAGATGACTTCATTTACATGAAATTCTAGACCAAGCAAACCTACTTTATTGTGACAGCAATTTTGCCAGTACCTGGGTTTGGGGTGGGGTTGACTGGGAAATGGTACAGGGCACTCTTTAGGGTGATCTATCTTGATGGTGGAGTCCTGGTGTGGCGCTGTGGGTTAATGCGCCAGACTGCAAAGCCGTTTGAACTGCAAGGTTGGCGGTTCAAGCTCACCGGATGCTCCTTGGAAACCCTATATAGGTTTGCTATAGGTCGAAACTGACTCGACAGCACTTAACAACATCTTGATGGTGATGACAGCTACATGTGTGTGCACTTGCCAAAACCTTACACATAAAATGGGAGCTTGACTAGATAAAAATAGTCTGGCACTATCTGCAAGTCCCCTTCCAGATCGTTGTCTTGTGTGGCGGATGTCTATTCATCGCTCTACACCAGTTCAAGCGTTACCTCTTCTGTGACGCCTTCTCAGATCTGCCATGCTAAATCAGTAACTTTCTTATCTACAATACTACACAACTTAAAAAGTTGTTGGTCAACTCTTCACTCTTATTGTAATCTTTCTGTCTTCCCCACAAAACTCTGAACGACTTGTGGGTGGCTGTGTGTTACTCATCTCTTTCCCAGCATCTAGCACCGGTCCTTGTAGGTATCAATCATTTCCAAATGAGATAAAGTGAGTCAGAGAGTAGGGAAGTGACGACGGAATGAGTTGTGTTCAACTATTTTCCTTTGTGCTGGACAGAAAAAGTTACATAGTTCATAGAGATTACGGACACCTTAGGTGAACTGGAAAGGTCCAAAGACAACCGAGTCCAACGTGCTCTTCAGAACAGGAAGTTATGAGTGTGGTCTACAGGCAATAACTGTGAGGAATCCTAGTCTTATATTGGTTACTACCTAGAGTTTCTGAGCTATGTGGAAACAGAAGCCATCAGACTAAGAATAAAGGTATTGGCAGTAATAGGAAAATATACTGACACAACAAAACACATTTAGAAATTAAAAGCAGTAGGACAAAGAGGTATCAGCTCTATCAATTTGGAGCCGTATGTTACTGCCTTTGTGCTAGGCCCTGGGGGCCTATAAATGAATCATGCATGACCACCGTCCTCAAGGAGCACACTACATGAGATCATGTATGAGGCTCCTTCTGACAGATCACAGGACGTGCAGTAACAGAGTGGCCACGGAGCATGGGCGCACAGCTGACCCTGAGGGCAAGTCTCCTTGACACGATGCTGAGTAGAAGTTACAAGACGTGGTCCGGGGTAGGAATAGGAGAGAGGCTGGTGGATGTGATCACCATTAGCCAGTTAGGGCTGTTGAACCATCAAATCTGTGGCACGGACTTAATGCCTCAGGACACATGCTAGGGGGCTTGGACTTCACTCTAAGGACAATACTCTTAAGGGCAACAGTCAGTGCTTTTAAATAAGAAAGTATCATTTTTCAACCTGCCTTTTTGATAAACCCAAATTTGCTAAGCAATATTCTTTTAAGTACTGATAAGATCATATAAACAATTCTGCCCTAAAAGGAACATAGCTCAAGGCTGATTGCAAATACGAAATAAAACAGAGAAACCTCTTGACATTTCCCCACTCTCTCATTGTTCCAGCCCAAGCTGTCTTGAAGACAAGCTTTCGTGGTGGACAAAGAGGAATGAACTCTGCGAGCGCCGCACAGTGGAGAGGTGATGCCCACTGGAGAAGCAGTACCATGTGTGACCTTAGGATATTCTGGTGCCTCCGAATCTTAACATGCGAATTAGGATTCTTAATACTCATTCTGAAGCACTTACTCACTGAATTGGAAAATAATGGTTTCAAAAGTTATCTGAGTGTGCTTCCTGACAGAGAGACTTCTCCCCCAAATGTATGGGAGCCTTATCCAAGCCCAGTTCCTCTTGGTGACCACCTGGATTCTTGTTTAAATTTGGGGTTGCGTTAAAATCTTTTTCATACTGACTACACTCAAAGAGTTTCTCCTCCGTGTGAACTTTCTGATGCTGAATGAAGTTTGACCTCTGAGTAAAGCCTTTTCCACAACGACTACACACATAGGGCTTTTCTCCAGTATGGATGATCTGATGTAGGAGCAGCTTGGAGCTCTGAATGAAGGCCTTCCCACAGTCTTTACATTCAAAAGGCCTCTCCCCAGTGTGGATTTTCTGATGTTCAGTAAGGTGGGCTTTCTGGAGAAAAGCTTTTCCACACTCTTTACATTCATATACTCGTTCTCCAGTGTGAATTTTCTGGTGTCGAATAAGGTATGAGCTCAGAAAAAATGCTTTTCCACACTCGTCGCATTCATAGAGTTTCTCTCCAGTGTGAATTCTCTGGTGCTGAGTAAAGTTGGACGTCTGGCTGAAGCGTTTCCCACATTCTGTACACACATAGGGTCTCTCTCCCGTGTGGATCCGCTGGTGCTGAATAAGTTTTGAGCTCCGGATGAAGGCTTTACCACATTCGCTGCACTCAAACGGCCTCTCTCCAGTGTGGATTCTCTGGTGCTCAATAAGGTCTGATCGGTGCCGGAAAGCCTTTCCACACTCTTTACACTCGTACTGTCTCACCTCCGTGTGGATCTGATAGTGGCGGATGAGGCTGGAGCTGCGAATGAAGGACTTCCCACACTCATTACACTCGTAGGGCCTCTCTCCCGTGTGGATTCTCTGATGTCGAATAAGCAGGGAGCTCTGGCTGAAGCCCTTCCCGCATTCTTTGCATTCGTAAGGCCTCTCCCGGGTATGGACCCGCTGGTGTCGAATCAGGTCTGAGCTGTGACAGAAGACTTTCCCACACTGAGAACATTGGAATGGTTTTTCTCCAGTGTGTATTCTCTGATGCTCAATGAGGTTTGAATAGTGAATGAAGTTTTTTCCACACACGTTACAGACATAGAGTCTCTCTCCAGTGTGAATCCTCTGATGTTCAGTAAGGTGTGAGCTCTGACTGAAGCTTTTCCCACAAGGATCACATTTGTAATTTTTTTCCCCAGTATGAGAAAGCTGGTGTCTAACTAGTTCCGAGTGAAATGTGAAACTTTTCCCACAGATATCACATTGATTAGCTTCCCCTTCTACAAGCTCTCTCTGAAGTATAAGAAGGTTTGAGTTCAAGATTGGACTTCTTCCTGCTTTAGTACACATCTGGGCTGTTTCTCCTGTTTGGATTTTCCAGTGGGTAACTGTCACCTGTCTGAGGTCCGCCTCCCGAGCAGGGCAATCCCTCAAGTTCTGTCCTTCTGCATTTCCCGACAGTTCGCCTAGTCTGGTTTCAGGGACATCCCCAGAACCAGGAGCTGAGGGCTCCATCACTGAAAGTTTTTCTGACACCGGCTTATGTGACTTTTCATCCTCATAAATTCACGCTTTCGAAGCACCTTCATGTCACCAGTTGCTACCTTAGAATCTGAAACAAGAGAATGAAAAGATCATCTTTTCTCTTTGTTAACAGAAATTAATCTTCCAGAACAAATGCAGAACAGAATACATACCCAAGAAATAGAAGAGAGGAAGGTGTTTCTCTTGTCCCACAGGTCTGACCCAGTGACTTTTATTTACAGCTCTCATTTCAGCCCAGATCAATCATTCCCTCTTAGAAAGGTTTCTTTAAGGTCCCGCCCACATTCAATTCCAGGGGGCAGGCTAGCCTCTGATTTATAAAGCTTCTCTGACCCTCAAGGAATTCTGGATGGGTGCTAGGCAACATCTATTCACAATCCTAACCCCATTCTTTGGTAAGGACATGGCTCATGTGAAAAAATAAATCAATACGTATTTTTTTGAGACCCATGAAATTCATGGATCTTACCTCTTTTTTCACTGTCTCTCATCCCTTCTTCATGTTCATCCTTCCTTCCTTCCTTTCAGTTCAACTCCCATGGTCTGTGGTACTACTTTTAGGTCCCATACCATATTCATCCTCTTGCATTTAATACTTACTTCTTGTAAGTTTCTTCCTCTATCATACTCATGTAACAAACCCCCCAATCTGCTGGCTTCTTGGTGTCTGCATTGTCGCAGACTGAACTTCCTCTAAGTTGTTAACTTTCCGCCTGATCGGCCCAAGAGCTGCTAACAGTCCTTCCTCATGATAGTTTCTGGAGCTGTTGTAACAGAGACACTACACGTGGATGGCTTCAACAAGCAGACTGTCTCAGTGGGACTTCTGGAGAAAGGGTCTTGTTTCCCTTCAACATCGATAGGCCCAGTGCTCCTTGGAGATCTAGATGTCGTGGCATCAATCTTAACGGGAGTCTAGAAGGACCTCAGTGCAGGGACCCAGGGTCTAAAGGACATGGTCAGCCACCGGCTCTACTTTCTTGGTGGTGCCTTCCTCTCTGCTCACTTCTCTGTTATTTCTGGTAAGATCAAAGGTGATGCAGGTTTGGGACCCAGGGAAACTCCTCTGATAGGAGAACAGGCTGTGACGTCGCACACTCATCCCCCTACAACTGACTGGCTGATCACACACAATCTATGTTCAGTGAAAAACGTATGGACAGAAGCAGAACCCTGTTAGAGTGCTGAGAGATGAGGCCCTCAGGTTGCAAAGCACACAAAATATGACTGGGGAATGGTTGCCTCCTCAAAGTACAGGACCTGAATGGCGTGGATGGAATAGCGTTTTTGAGACCTTCATGTGCTGATGCAGTATGACTATAAATGAGAACAGCTACAAACCCCATTAATAACTGAGTGTGGGGTGGACAAAGTATGAATCAAGGAAAATGAGAAGCCGTCAAAAAAACTGTAATGGGCCACTTGAAGATTGGTATGTTAGTCATCAATGACCTGAAATGGACCGGTGCTGGCAATCTACTGTACCAGGAATCACTGATGAGAAATAGTGTCATATTAATCATGAAACATATTGAATGATTATTCAAATATACACATCAGCCACTAATGCCAAGAAATGAAGAAACAAGGCTTGTATCAACTTCTGCAATTGATCTAATATGCTTCAAGATGCATTGATAATTACTGGTGATTGAGATTTGAAAGTTGGGAACAAAGAAGGATCAGTGATTAGAAAATAAATCCTTAGGAACAGAAATGATGCCAGAGATCATATGACAGAACCTCTTCATTGCCAATACCTCTTACAAACCACCTCAATGGTGACCATATGGGTGGACTTCTCCAGAAGGGACGCACAGGAATCAAATCAGCTGCATCTGTGGAGAAGCCTAGCTATCATGAGTCAGAACCAGGCCTGGGGCTGACTGCAGAAAAGACCATCAACTGATGATATGCAAGTTCAAACTGAAGCGAAAGAAAACGAAAACAAGCCCATGAGAATCAAAGTATGACCTGCAGTATATTCCACCTGAATTTACAGAGCGTCTCAGAACACGTTGTGGGATGACATCAAGATCATCATACGCGGAGAAAGTAAAGTCACTACAGACACAAGAATGAAAGACAATACCAAAATGGATGCCCGAAGAGAATCTGAAACTTGTGCTGGAATGTCGACAAGCTAACGGAAACAAGTGATAAAGTAAAAGAGCTGAACAGGTTTCAAAGACAACGTAATGTAGTATAACGCAATGTGCCCAGATCTGGAGTTTAGAAACCAGAAGGGAAGAACATGCTCGGCATTTCTGTAGTATGAAGAACTGAAGACAAAATTCAAGCTTTAAGTTGCAATATGAAGTGATTCTATCCTGGTGTGGCACTGTAGGCTAATGCTCCAGACTGCAAAGCCCTTTGAACGGCAAGGTCAGCCGCTCCTGGGAAACCCTATACAGGGTTGCTATGGGTCGGAACTGACTCGACTAATGGCACATGACAACAGCAGCAAAGTGGGCAAAATACTGAATGAGACAGGAGTCGTCCAGGGAAAACAGAAGGAATGCAGAATCACTGTATTGATTTATGTTCAACTGTTTCAAGAGGTAGCACGTGGTATGGAATGAACGGTGTTGAAGCAGGAAGTCCAACCTGCACTGAAGGTACTGGGGAAAAGCAAGGCTCCGGGAATTGACCAAATACCACATGAGATGTTCCAACAAACAGGTGCAGGGCCGCAAGTGCTCACTTATCTGTGCCCAGAAATACGGAAGACAGTCACCTGGCCATTCAACTGGAAGACACCCAGATCTGTGCTCATTCTAAAGAAAGGCGATCCAATCGAATGTGGAAATCATAGAACATATCATTAGTATCACATACAAGTAAAGTTATGCTGCAATCCATTGGCAGAAAGTGCCAGTAATTCAAGCCCGAGCTAAGAGGACGGTGGAACGAGAGCTGTCACTGCTAGTGTCAGATGGATCTTGGCTGAAAACAGAGGAGACCAGAGACCGCAAAGATATTTACCTGTTTTATAGACTCTGCAAAGGCATTCAAGCGTGTGGATCACAACAAATTAGGAATAACATTGCAAAGAATGGGAATTCCAGAGCACGTAATTGTGTTCGTGTGGAATCTACGTAGACCAAGAGGCAGTGGTTTAACTAGAACAAAGGGATACTGCACGGTTTAAAATCAGTAAAGGTACGCGTCAAGGTGGGATCCTTTCACCATACTTATTCAGCTTGTACTCTCATCCAATAATCTGAAAGTTGGGCTACATGACTAACACAGTGAGACAGGACTTATTAACAGCTTGTGATGTGCACATGACGTTACCTTGCTTGCTGAAGTGAACAGGCCTTGAAGCACGTACTGACAGAGATCAAAGCTACATTGTTAGTGATAAGAGCCATCAAGTCGGTTCCAACTCAAAGTGACCCTGTATAGAGTTTCTGAGGAGCAGCTGGTGGCTTTGAACCACCGACCTTACAGTCCAGTGCATACCTTACAATATCACACCAGGGCTCAGTATATATTACATCTCAGTATAAAGAAAACAAGAATCCTCACAACTGGACCAAGCAAAATCATGATAAATGCAGAAAAGACTGAAGTTATCAAGGATTTCATTTTACTTCGATTCATACTCAACACCCACGGAAGCAGCAGTCAAGAAATCAAAGGACGTACTGCACTGGCCACTCACTCCTCTATGTTAAGAAATTTGAAAGACAGCTACCTGGCCAACCAATTGGAAGAGATCCCTATTTGTGCCCATTCCAAAGAAAGGAGACCCAACAGAATGATCAAATCATTGAACAATATCATTAATATCACATGCAAGTAAAATTTTGCTGATAATTTTTTAAAAGCTGCAACAGTACATTAACAGGAAACTGCCAGAAATTCAAACTGGATTCATAAGAGGACATCATATGAATCTTGGCTGAAGCTGAGAAAGACGTTTACTTGTGCTTTATTGACTATGCATAGGTGTTTGACTGTGTGGATCATGACAGAGTATGGACAACATTGTGAAGAATGAGTATTCCAACACTTCATTTTAGTGCTGACGAGGAACCTGCGTAGACTAAGAGGCAGTTGTTAGAACAAAGCAAGTAGATTCTGAAAAGTTTAAAATCAGGAAGTGCGTGCCAAGGTCGTATCCTTCCGCCATATTGATTCCGTCTAAAGGCTGAGCCTACAGAAAAGCGGCATTCTGTGAAGAACAACGTGGCATCAGGATTGGAAGAAAACTCATTAACAGGCTGAGATGTGCAGATTATATAACCTTGTTTGCTAAAAGTGAAGAGGACTTAAAATACTTACTGATGAAGATCAAAGACTGCAGGCCTCAGTCTGGATTGCACCTCAGTGTAAAGAAACAAAACTCCTTACAACGGGACCAGTAAATAATATCATGATAAATGGAGAAGACTGACATTGTCAAAGACTTCATTTTGCTTGGATCCACGATCGACACTCATGGGAGCTGCTGTTAAGAAACCAAATGATGTATTGCAGCAGGCAAATCTGCTTCATAAGACCTCTTTAAAGTGTTCAAGACCAAAGATATCAGTTTGAGGACTAAGGTGCTCCTAACCCATGCCATGGTATTTTAAATTATATGCAGGTGAAAGTTGGACAACGAATAAAGAAGACTGTAGAAGAATTGATGCATTTGAGTTATGGTGTTAGAAAATAATATTGAATGTACCATGAACTATCAGAAGAAAAAACAAATCTGTGTTGGAAACACAGCCAGAATACTCCTTAGAAGCCAGTATGGCAAGATTTCGGATCTCAAACTTCAGACATGTTATCAGGAGAGACCAGTCCCTGGAGGGGGGCATCATGCTTGATAAAGTGCTGGGCCAGAAAAAAACGAGGAAGAGCCCTAAAGAGATGAACTGGTACAGTGACAGCAGTAATCTCCTCACACACAATTGTGCAGGGTGGAGCAGGGGGCACCATGAGTTAGAACTGACTTGACAGCACTTAATACTACA